GACGGAACCTGCACATTTTCATAATAATAAAAAAAATATTTCGAAAATATGTGAAGTTCGCCAATCTACAGTGGGGTCGCGTGATAGACTATGAAACTAATCCCCTCTGTACAGAGGAGGCCTTCGTCCAGCAGCGGGACAAACATAGGCCCTAACTTTACTTTTCTTCTTACTTTACTTGAACTATAACTCTAATAAACAGCTTAGCACGGATAGATTAATCTGAGAAAAGTGCGTCAAACTATCTATGTAAGTATTTACCATACCTAATACTGAATAAACACGTATATAGAAAGTCAACAGCGTTTCACAGAAACTGAAATTATGCCGACTTTTTCTTAAGGCTTGATCTATGAATCTTGGGGGAACTCGTGAAGCAACACTTTTATTTAAATGAAATCGTACAAAACGATGAAGCTTTACATTTCAAGAAACAAACAAATTATACCTCTTTATAATGTAACTGCAGATATATGTTGTGAGGATTTTTAAACATGTTCTAAATAAGAGTATTAACTTTATCAAGTTGAGAATGCCTTAGGGCATCAAATCAAGCATCATACCTTTCTTTACAACTCTAAGAATATAGTACAAAGTAAACAGGCCCCGTTATCTGAGAACGCCGTGAACAGAAAGGCAATCAACTTGCACAAATAATATAGATTATAACCCCAAGTAAATTACTTTGTTTTGTTTCTATATATTATTTCTCAAATATTTTTCGTCACTAACCCATAACTTCCATAATTCTTTATCAAATTTAATGATTCAGTACACTTTGACGAAATACTAAAGTCAAAGTTATCATAAAGAAAACTTTCAGTCAACTTTTTTTAAACAATATATGATAATGCCATGTATAGACAATTTGCTTAAATAAAAGATAGCGAAATAGACTGAAAAACGTTATTCTTCAAAAAAAGACACCTTCTATTGATAAGTACTTATTTACAAATTATGTTAACATTAGTACTCAAAAGAGATTATGAGTTTAAGACATAACTGAACTATATAATATAGTGCTAACCACTATAAAATCATTATTACCATCAGGCGGGTTGGCAGTCAAACGCTGGCCAGTTTCAAATTAAAAAAAAGATAGCTTAATATAAAAATGAACGGACTGAAAAACGTTATCATCTTAAACACAAAAAGAGATAAACACGCTCTTACATAAATAAACCCTTTTTCATCACGCAATAAACATTTCGATCACGCAATTTTTTTTTCCAGTAGTCCGACGCAAGGTTCAGTATCCACGGTGCCAATCAGGTCAGTGGAGGGCTATAACCGTAACTAGGTAGAAAGACTCACGCCGGCAACGTCATTATGTATGTTGCAGGTTAATTGAGCTGGGATTCCCCGCGAGATCACATCCGGGTCAGAGAAGCATTCCTTAGCATGCTTAAGCTCTATAAACTCTATAAGAGCCTTCGTATGCGTGCAAAGGAAACGAACAAATTTCATTGCGTGTCCTTGAGCACTTGAAGTTTTACATATACGACACAAAATTACACTTTTCGTGCCTAAGGCGCAATATTAAATAAGCGGACGCTCGTAAATAACCATGAAACATTCGAAATTCAAAGCACGCTTGAAAACTAGCGTGCCAGAAATATTAATAAACCATTTTCCCTACCGCGTTATTTTATTTAGCAAGGCAGACAGCGTGGCGTATGACGTTATTTAATTAACGCGTGACTTACGTTATACACATTAATGATTACCTAATTAATTTAATGGCATTTATTATACAAGGAAACGTCTATTTCATTTAATTAAAAAATAAAACGATTTAAGAATTAATCATTCCGTCTTCGACTTAATACTTTACTGCCTTCCCATTTCATAACATTAATTTATGACGTTATTTCCAAAAAAGAGGATGATTTGACACTAGGGCACAGTAAACTGAGGTGCACAAATCAAGCCAATTGGTGTAAATAGATAGCAATTCTACAGAATGATCTAACATTCAATTATATATGTTATATAATGTAAAGCGGAACAATTTTAAACGTAGCGCAGTATGGACACGCGTCATCTTTATCAAAACATCATTGACATTAATATATACACAGAAAAGGCATAAGCTCAAAAATTTCCTTTCAGAGTGAAACCACCTGGGCTTAAAGTGGCAAACGAGCTGGCGGTTCATCTGATGTTAAGTGATAACCGCCTGTCCATGGACATGGACATTTGCAACACCCGTAGGGTTGCAGATGCGTTGACCTCTTAATAATATGGGCCCCGGCCACCTCACTCACCAGACGAAACGCAGAAGTGTACTTCTACTTTACGCCGGTCTTCTATGAGGTCGTGGTACTAACACGAACGGACTTGCCCATTCGTGCAACAGCGAACACTGTTGCGTGGTCCTACCACCGTTAACCAGACTCTTCCTATATTCTTAAATTTAGGACTTGAGGTGGAGCTACGGAGGAAGAGGAACTTGATAAACACCAGAACGAAAGACCAGGTCCTCTGCCGTGGACCCTTAGGCTTGCTGCTTATAAGCACTGGCTCTCGTGGCTTCTCTGGGCAGCGAACTTGTGGAGTCTGATACCCACTTAAACGGGACCGAATAGTACCGCTATAACTGAGGAAGAGGATCTTCCTCTTCTTAGGTCGCACAGACAGAGAATTTGGCCGAACCTGCATAGACCACATGTTCAGGTGGCCAACGAAAACAGTCCCGCAGATGTGTCCGAGTCTAACTTTCGCCCTGCGTCCTAGGTACATCGTGGGCCCTTAAGTCTTTGAAAGACCAAAGTAACCCATTCTTGCCCCACCGAGAGTATGCGTTGACAATACTCCCTCGTAAACAAAATGAAGAAAAAGGTTTTGGCTGTAATTAATCCAGTATTTTGGCTTGGAATTTCACAACGACAAATTGTGAGCCCAAAACCTCAATTAATCAATGCCTTTAGTGTCCTATTCAAACTCAAAATACCTTTAATCGAATAGACGCTGGCGCGTTATTATGAAACGTCACATTTTACAGAAAAAATTATACAAAGTTCGTAAGTAAGTCACCTTTATTCGAGAAACTAATGCAAGTTTCCGTTGATGTGTTATAAAAAAAAAATTAAACTTATGGACCTGGGCTAGTAATCATGTAAACGGTCAAAATCTGCATTTTATGAAAATGTTATTTGGCATTATTTAAGTAAAAGAAAAGATTAAATTTATTTTCTAAATTTTAACTTTATACGTTAGAATATGTACTTCAAACATCATACACAGTTTATAAATAAATAAAATATTCTCGTATATATTAGTTAAATAACAAAACAAGCATAATTCCAAAAATTATGTAACGTTAAGGTTGGATGGAAAATTATATCAACTCATTGACCGAATTCATCTTAAGAGATGCGGAAGCTGTAAAGACCTGACCCGTAGTGGCTATTCCAAATATCTATAAAATAAATTGTATACTCACATATTATCCCAATTATCACCATCACGCACAAAACAAATGAACACAAATCACAATCTTGTGTAAAATAATAGAAACGCACAAAAAACTGCACAAAAAAACAGGCTAATCTCACGTGACGATTATCAGCGAAACTAACTCACATGCACCGCATATCACGGTGCACAAAAATCACTTGTGCTCACACGCTGAAAACCCAAATGAGATATTAAAGATCACAGACACAATTTCCGTGCGTAACGGACAGGGTTTTAGTAAGGATTACTGGTAATTTCATAACAATAGGCTATTTCCGTAGGGGCGTAGCCGACCGCCCTCTACGGAGCGCCGCTACGGACTGACGTAGACACGCATTTGGAGGGAAATGTTTTTGCGCATAGGTCCCGAGCCAGATTCAAAGCCATTCGAAGACGCGTGGGTTTATGTAAATTTTAACATCATAAAATAACTTTAATTATTTCTTTCCATGCTACCTTAATCGTCCTTACTTTGGTTGAAATAGGCTTAATGCCGAAAGCATTCTTTTGGATAAAGTACGCATATAAAATGAAGGTAAAATAAAAATACATTTAAATAAAAAATATATATTACGTCGCATATATATTATTGTTTTAATCTCTCAAATTAATTACTTGTACCTCCAAAACTGTTTCCAGTACTAAACTGCGTCAAAAAATATTTGTAACAATGAAGCGGACCGTAAAGTAAGAAATATATTTGTTAGAAGCATACATGATGCACAGAGTATAGACTAACAGGTCAGTGAGCTGAAATAATGATTTACCGGCTGTAACACATAGAAGTGGGAAATACTAAAGAAGAAAAGTTCTCATATCTAGACATCACAATTTTCTACATAGTACTACTTACAAGTGAAACCTATACAACGATGGTGGAGATCGATGAATACTGGTAGCTGGTTGTGCTATCTTTAAAGAAGAGTAATAATCAGCAGTAGTCTCTGATCAGGGTGTAATAATCATAATAATAGTTAAAATGTGTAAAAAAATATCTTGTTCCAATGTGTGATAATGAAAGACTGTGTATATAAATTAGTCGGTCAGGATCTTAGGTGGCAGGTTTGCTTATGTCACCGTTCGCAAACATTACAACCGTACTATATTACAACTACAAGTTAAAGAAATTGTTCACGAGTAGTTTTAAAAACAGTTTATTTATTTTTGTTTGTACATGTGACATTCGTCTATTCTACATATTCATATATAATCAGAAATTGAAACATTAATATGTTACATGATTAAAGTCAATAATAGCCACAAATACTGTTTTCATGCATGCGTCATAAAACTCCTTTTATTTTTGAAGATGTTTTTGTGGATTTTCCTAATAAACCATGAAAAAGAAATTACTATAAATACTTTCGTTGTTAATAAAAATGTACCCGTTAATTAAAATCAAAGCAAATTGTAAAACTCCGTAACTGAATCCGAAACTTAAACATTGAACTAATTTTAAAAATCTGAAACTTTAAAAAAAAATTGTTTTTTTTTACTAAAAATTCGATCGCATGTGTCATGATTCAGTTTTGTTCCATTTAATGAGTGGAATTTCCTTCGTAATATTTGGCAATGTATCTAGCAACTAGCGTTATAGGACGATGCTGCCATTGTATCAGTGTCGCCTTGTCTGATTTCACCTGAAAACAAAATCGATACTTATCAAGGATCTTCAAAAAGGTTTTATTCCGAAAGTTCCTTGATAGCTACCACAAAAAGCTAAAAACCTTTGTGCTAAGTTTTCTTTTATGAAATTTTATGTTCAATATGTGCGTATATAAATAAATAAATATCTTACACTGGAACATAGTCTTATACAAAACAATAAATGGCTTATCATCGAACCTGGTGTTTTCAATTCAATACTCGTATATTTCATCAGCTTACACCTGCGGTAAATACCTACTGAAATTTAAATTCTCCTATCTGTACTTGTCGGTTATAAATTGATTTCCTCCTATCTCACAAAGACATGTCAATAAATCCCTAAATCTCGATGGGACTAGTTCACTCCTCAATATAACACATAAAGATAATATTATTAGAACCATAGGAACGTTTCATGTTTCAGAGCTTTTGAAGATTAAATTTGCAACAGTGTGTTCTAATGAGTTAAATATTCTTATCACAAAAGCCATCCCTAAACTTTTTAGACAGATGTAATGACAATTAGTAGTAGCTTTTTTTAAGGCAGAAAAATAGTCCTACATTATCCTGTGTTGTAAGGACGTTTTACATACGTAAATTTCACGTGGACAAACACCCAAATCCGAAACAATTATCTGTGGGTCACACAAATAGTTGTCCCGCGTGGGAATCGAACCCACAAACCTAGCACTGAAGGCGATACCTTAGTGAGTTCGCGACGTAGTCATCAGATTCAATCGCACTATTGTAAGGAGACCCTTACAGTTCTTCAGACTTCATTATTTCTTACCTGATCTCCCTTCAGTCGATCTAATAACGTGACGCAGACATCCGCAGCGCGCACTCCGGCTTCTCTCGTGTAGGCCGCGAAAGCTGTGGCTTCCATCTCTATATTTCTCACTCCCATGTCGGATAGTTTTCGGAGGAAAGATAACTTATCTTCTTCGGTGTGATCGCAGAAGGGGCCGTCCAATCTCGCCTGACCTATCCAATGCGTTTTCCTTTCAATTATTCGCCTTTATTCCTTTGCTTAGAGTGTTTTAAATGTGAGAAGGTGGCAAGCTAGGTGGCGGTACACCTGATGTTAAGTGATATCCGCCACCCAAGGGCATTTGCAACACCCGTAGCGTTTCAGATGCGTTGCCACCTAATAATAAAGTGGGCCCCGTCTACCTCACTCACCAGAAGAAACGCAGAGGTATAACACTTCCACTTCGCGCCGGTCTTCTGTGAGGTCGTGGTACTTACCCGGATAGACCTGCCCATTCGTGCATCAGCTAAAGCTGTCGCGTGGCGTGGCCCCACAGTAAAATATGGACATACATAGATTATAGGTTAGTGTTTAGTGTAAACACATCAATATCATAGCATATCTCTATCTACACCTTTAACGTATAGAGTTTGTCTCTATTTATAGAATCCACACAGCACGTCTCGAATGTATAAACTTCATAAAAAAAATTCACTAAATTCAAAAATAAAAATCCACTCCATATTTTAATTTGCGCAATCGGCGTTCATTTTAAAATATGGAGTGGTCTTACATTTAAATCTACCTTTGTAATTAGTTGCGCACAGGAACATATAAAGGAGCGCGAAATTATTTCGTTTCAAAATTAAAGTACTCTGCACGTTATTAAATACGCCAGTAATTTTATAATTACTATAACCATTTCACATTCCTGTAATTAATTCCTGCCGCATGGTCTACTACTACTTAATACACTACTTTTTCTTAATTTGTACAATCGATGCATCAGTGTATCATCATCATTGTCAGCTCATCATATCAGCTTTCATCATATCAGCTCATTCATGTTCCACTACTGGGCAAAGTATATTTGGCCATCACCACGCCGCACTCTTCGGATTAGTGGACTTCACATATCTTGGAAATATTTTCCTTCACATATCGAAAATATGCAGGTTTCCTCATGATGTCCTCCTTCAACGCTGAGCACGTTACATTTCAGCACTTAATTAACAATTTCAATGGTGCCGACATCGGGACTTGAACTAAGGTTGCTCGAGTATAGCGAATTAAATGCGAGCGCCCGGACATTGAGCTATCACGGCTCAATCGGCGCATCTAGGAAGAGATAAACAAAGTACTCGTAGATCCCCAGTTACCGTATCAGCACTGTATTTTTCTGGTGTTACTGTGATAGGAACAGCCAGTCTTCGTCGTAGCAGGAATGGACAGGCAGGCGTCCGGGGAAGTACCGCGACCATATAGACTTCACAGAAGACCGGCGTGAGTGGCGGCGTGCGTTTCGTCTGATGAGTGAGGTAACCGGGGCCCACTTCATTAAAGGTTGAGTGATGCGTATATGAAACCCTACGGGCGTTGCAATTATCAGTGGGCGGCGGATATCACTTGGCATCAGGTGAACTACAACCTCGCCCGCTGCGATCTCTCATCATTTAAAAAAAATAGATATTATAAATCATAGACCTTACCTCTATAAAAATCATCGGCGGCCATTGTACCCCCGGTGAATGTTTCGAAGCCATCGTTTTCTGTCACCAAAGACTGCAACTCCTGACTCAAACGCTTGTCGAATATCGACGGTAACTTCCGCATACTTCCGAGCACTGGCTGGAAGGAATAATTTGTCCGAAAAAAAGTAAAGCGTAAAGCCATTGAATGCAATCGATAACAATTTATTTAAATGACTTGGATTTATTGGTAAATGTCAAAAAGTTGTTATAGGCCCGCACTCCGACCCTCAAAAAGCGACATGATGCTTTTTGTGTGCGCGCGAATCGTAAAAAATTTTACTCGCATAATTTTTCCAAACAATAGACACTATCTACTTAGTAAACGTAAAGTTCAGTAGGCAAAATGTGCTATATTAGCTGTAAAGGGGGAACATCTGCTGAGTTTTTAATTATAGTAGTTATTGAAATTAATTCCGGGCAAACAACAAATATGTTGTGAAATGTTTAAAAATAACACATCCACTATTATTGTTGACAGAAGCAACACTAAGTATCTTTACTTACACTTAGAAGTTTCTTTTTGTTTCATCGGTCACTGCCGTGATATTCAAATCATTATTGTTTTTTATTAATGTAATTCTATATTATTTCGCTATATTATTATGGACAGTAAATTATTAATCGAGTAGCGGCCAGTTTATGTAAGAAAAAATGTTATATACTGCATTGTTTGCCTCACATCACTATAAAGAAAAAATCGAATTTGCCACCAAAACTACCAAGTAACCTAATTATAATTGAAAATACTCAGTACACGGGTAAAACTTGATTAAAAAAGCAATCCCGCAAAGTGGGTAGTAACAAATAGAAAGCACTCACAATGTTGTAACTTTTCTCCAGCGTGCCATTAAGGCCCCACGAAGAGATGACTACGGAACCCGGGGGTATTTGAAGACCACCGCTCGTGCCTACTCTGAATATTATCGGGTTCTTCGCCTTCGAGTAGTAAAGGAGCTTCAATATCTCCTGTAGGAGAACCGTCATCGACGGGATCCCAATGCCGTGCTGAAGGGGAAAATATAAAAGAATATACAACTACTAGCGGACCCAACAGGTAACATTTCGTAAAATCCATTCTTAGCTGACCTCTACTCGGCGAAAGGAATATTCCTACCAAATTTCAGGTCTCTTCTACGCCTTATGGTTCCAGAGATATCGTGATGAGTCAATTATCGGTGGAAATCTTTTATATATATAGATAAGTTATGTTCTTATTGAAATTTTTATATTGCTAATCTCTGCAATTTAGATGAAACGACGAAGATGAAAGACTTAATGTCTTTTGTAGGAAAAAGACAAGTTTCAAAAGGAAAAGTCTTCCGGATTCGCGAAGTGTTAATAGTTAAAGCGTTTGGGCGTTGTAATTTAATATTGATATCGAAGCATGTAAAGTACATATATTTTGGTGGACAGTCTGTTGTATATTTTTATAAGTTGTCTTTCTACAAATTTTAATGTTCCTTTTATTTTATTAAGAACAGGGTGAGTTATACATCAAAAGTAAAACGGACATATTCAAGACACGTTTTGTTTTGTTCGGCTTCTACAAACAAGTACGCGGCCCTTTCGGTAAATATTAAAGATACCACAACCTAATGAACACTGTGATAGGAAAACGAAGTCGCTTCTGAAGTTACAAGATTAAACATGTTAGTCAGTGCATGTGTCTTTTGCGTTTCGTCTGGCGAGTGAGGTACTCGTAATTTGGGCTCATTCTTTCGTCAAACAGCTTATAACAAAAGTTGTATAGCATTTGACGAAAAAAAAAAAAACAAAAAAGTTTCGTTTATAGATGATACTTACATACATATTACTGTCAATAGATATGTTCATTGGTAAAGAAAAGTACTCACATTGACGGATAATACGGGTCCCACTTTGTACATGGCGTATCTGTGAGAATGTTTCGTCAAATTCTTCAACGGGACGTTTTCGATTTTCAGTATTTCCGCCACGTGCTGTGCGAACTCCCTCATTCTCTGTTTCGTACCGCCCATGCAAACAAACTGGGAAAAGGAGAAGTGACTCTTTGCTGCGGTAAGGGTACGCGGCAGATTCTATGGTTGCACGAATGGGCAGGCTCATCCTGGCCGGCAGAAGACCGGGGCGAAGTGGAAGTACTACTTACGGAAGTAATACTTTCACGTTTGATCTGGCGCGTGGGGTAGCTGGGACCCACTTCTCCAAAGCCTTATAACACATCTGGCATACCCAGATATTGTAAACCTTAGACGAGATATATAACCTATATTATTGTAAAGTTTCATTAAAATCCATTCAGCAATACTTGCGTGAAAGAGTAACAAACATCCATCCATACATACAAACTTTCTTATACAATATTAGTAAGGATGTAGAAACACCCAGAGGCTGCAAAAATAGTTTTCCAGTAGTGGGGACCGAACCCTCTCCCTCTAACTCAAGAGGCAGGTTCACTACCCACTGCCTCAATCGGGTTACTATATCATAGCAGTATGAAAATCACACTTAACAAGAGCAAACCACCTCCAGGACAGGCAGAGATAATTGTCACCAGATATGTACTACCCAGCTTATTTAGTCCTAAGATTTTTACGTCCAGATCGCATGTCGATGTCTCCTTAAACAATTTTAAATCATGTATCATAAAAAAAATAGAATGCAATTACGAATGATAAAAACCGCGCCAACAACCTTAGCTCTTTGTGCAAGAAAATTACTTACACGAATGGAAAAACCGTACAATGCTTCCAAAACGGAATTACACTAATGAACGTAGTAGTGAAAAGATAATGAAAACAAATTTATTTCATGAACTTGCAATATAAAAGATGGAATATAAAAAAATAATATAAAAGAACTTGATACTCTTTTATATGTCTTTGTGTCTTTTTTGTAATAAAGTCCGAAACTGAAGGTCCAAAAGAAATAACAATAGGCCCCACTCATTTATTATTTACAAGGCTCAAAACTCCAGGGCAAATATTTGTATTGCGTACAATATTTTTCTAAGCGTGCAAGAATGTATGATATCGTCATTTGCTCGAAATGATAATATGTTGTTTTAAGTCATGTAAACAAATTTAAAATGTTCATATGGTGTGTACACAGATTATGAAATATAAAATCTCTAAACACGTTGGCAATTCTACATTATTAATAATGGGTGGAGTGGGTAAGACCCCATGTGATGAACTATGTCTTAATGCCTTCTGTAGAGAGGAGGCATTTGCCCAGCAATGGGACATATAAATGCTTGTTTCTTTACTTTACATACAAAATACAAAAACAATTGTTTATGTATTTTCACTGAAAGATCATAAAATTTGGTACCAATTTAGGTTTCACATGCCTTGCCAAATTTAGCCGAGAGCTGTTGAAATGCGACAATTTCTTTTCTTCAAATAGATTGGGCACAAAATTCTCTTTTCCAACTGTGGATTGAGTTTTGATTGTGAAGTAAAAGTAAGTAAAGTAACAGCCTATGTATGTCCGACTGCTGGGCAAAGGCCTCCTCTGTACAGAAGTTATTAGGGCATATTTTTTGTATTATTTCGAAAATATGCAGGTTTCCTCACGGTGTTTTCCTTCACCGCTGAGCACGCGATAAGTCAGCAGCTAAAATAACAATTTCATTGATGGCGGCACCGAGATTTCAACTCTCGAGTATACTGAATTAAAAGCACCCGGACATTGAGCTACAACTGTTCAATCGATCCATCTAGGAAGAGTTAAACAAAGGACTCGTAAAGTATGAATAAATGAGCTGACAATTGTGGCGTCGTAAGTTGTTAATCTGTGGGTCGACGCGTTTTCTTTTTCACGTTCGCTGACACTTGGCGTGGATCCTTACAGACGTCTCAGAAAAAAGGGAATATTCTGGTCCGTTATGGCTCACAGATTTTCATTGCAACAATAGCATATACTGTGCCATCGGATTGCCTTAACGTCCAGTATAATAAGTAAATCAGTTATATACTGCAAGTTATTTTATTGACCAACAGTCACCTATTTAAAAAACTAGATGAAGGGGCCTGAAGGGATGTTTTATCGACATATCCGGCCCAAAACAATAAATTAAAAAAAAATTAATACTTTCACATCTCCAAACAAGGCCGGCAGATCGTAGTTGGCGGTGTCAAGGCCGAGATGATAAATCACGTCTGGCTCCAATTTCGCCAAGTTTCCATTTGGTAGGCGAAGGGACCCGTCTCTGTTTCTGTGAAACGAAAGCAGTGTACACGTCATCAAAGTCAAAGTCAAAGTCAAAATTTCTTTATTCAAAATAGGCTTATTTTAAGCTCTTAATGAACGTCAAAAACTATCACCGGTTCAATAAACTAGACCTGCAAGAGAAGAGAGATTTTTTTAATAAATTATTTAATCATACAAATAATTGTTTAAATATAAAAGTATTTAAGTATAAATACTCTATATCGACGGTTGAAATACATAGTCGTAAATACATAGTCGTCATAGCATAAATATTGTCATAAATATGTATTTGACGACTATGTATTTTATAAAAATAATTTAATCGTAAATATTGTCATGTCTCGTGCAACGTGAGTAGAATATACATGATATGTATACTCAATTTTATCAATATCTATAAGCGTATGTTACATCATTTAATCTTATTGGGATCTCTAATTCCATCTTATTTAACAGAAAGATAATGGCCAATGTAAGTTAAAGATTGTTCTACACCAATATCATTTTGTTTCTACTTTACAAAAGTTTTAGTAGTAATAAGCTACGTATCTTATGTGTTATATATTCATTTAATTTTTTTCTCATAAATCTCGAAATGAGGTAAATCTTTCAACTTAACCGTAAACTATTGTAACTTTATAATTATTAAATTAATTTATCATTATATAATTGATGTTAAAGATGGTATTGAATATTTAATATTAATATATTGAACATTATTAACATCTAGAAATAAATACGGTTTGGAAAAGGAGTTAATTTGTGCATGATCTCTAGTTGGACAATATAAACCGAACTAGAGGTTGTGAAGTACAAATACTCTCCTAAGTGATTTTTTTATGTGATAAAGTTGCAAACGAGCTAACGGTTCGACTGATGTTAAGTGATACCCGCCGCCCATGGAATTTGTTTGTTTACATTGTTTTTTCGCATATTAAACAACGACAATTTCAAATATCGTTTTTTTTTTAAATAAAAACGGTGACATCTCTCGTTCGAAGTATTGTTGTAAGCCTGTACAGTTTACAACTAACTTAATTTAATAATGGAACTTAATGCTATTATTTATAAAAGCTGATGCAAAAATGGCTGATTTGCTTAATGCTATTGGCGTGTACACGACCTACCCGACGTTCGGCAGCCGCAAACATTTGCCCAGGCTGATTGGTCAAACATTTGCTCAGGTTGATTGGTCAAATATTTGCCGGCCTTGGAATGAGCATGATGCCTTCAACAACTATGCAGTTGGGAATCTGGATTATATTATTGTCAACTTTATCTTTTACCAGCTATCTTCGCCAGCTCTCTCGCGCTGATTCCAAAATCAGTCTGCGTACATTGAAGACTTGTGATATATGGTTCAATAATACCGGTGTTTTATGCTGAAAATTGGCAAGCAAACAAAGGGTTCACGTGACGCGATGTGATTACCGCCGCCAATGAACATTTACCAACGCTTGAGAAATTGCAGATGCGCTACCTATCTTTAAAGAAGCTGGCACCATTAAACTCTCTCACAAGACGAAACGGGAAAGTATAATACTTCCACTTAATGTGTTAACGGTAGTATTCTGTGAGTTATTTTCTGGACGAGCCTGTCCATTCTTGCAACAGCGAAGCTACTACGTGTTCCTACCTTAGTTAAATCAAAAGCTACCGAAATCATTTCAAAATGATCTTTGCTTTAAAAACAGAAAGATAAAAGAAAGCCGTTAGAAACAATGTTCAACGGTGTATTTGAGATTTATTTCAACTGGTTGACTGGTTGACACGTTACATTAAGTACACATTGTAACGTATATCAGTCGGTGTTCAAGTGTGCAACAGAGATAACGCTCTGCGAAGTAGAAATTGGCCGATTGTCTCTTTCCAAAGGTCGATGTGCAATACTTAACCCTATATACTGTTCCGCTTACTTTGGACATGGCATTCCGGAGCATTCGCTCCACACATGAGAGCAATTATCGTAATGCTGCTCCCACGCCTTGTTATTTGGCAGGATATAGTCACAGTCGCATTCCGCCATTCGTGATCCGACTGAAACAAAAGATGCGGTGATTTACTGTAACTGTTCCGTCGTTGACCGTGTCGTGGGTTCGATTCCCACACGGGACAACTATTTGTGCGACCCACAGATAGTTGTCTCGCATCTGGGTGTATGTCCGCTTGAAATTTATGTTTGTAAAACGTCCTTACAACACAGGATAATGTTATCCTAAAGTAAGGGCAATGTTTTTTTAAATACAAAAAAAAACATATAACAGTGTTTATTCCGTTGGTTTCAAACACTCTTAAACTTAAAGAATCGGAAAGGTCGTATACTCTTAGTAACAAAAGGTTTGCCTGTCGTTTATTTAGTGGACAGCTTTAAAACGAGATATAGCATATATTATCATTGGATCTCAATCACAAAAGTCCCATTCTTTACACAGTGCATGAAGAGATTGTTTTTTGGAGTAAAATTTTAAAAAAGACTAAATATTAATGTAAGCTTAAGCCTAAGACCTGTGATCCTAAAATCTCTTCTATGTACCGACTTTACATATTAGTCCATGTAAGTCTGGTGTCTAAGTGCTAATTTAATCGAACACAAGTAATCCAGTATCGGAATCAGAAAAATTTTAGTTTTTGTATCTCGATTTTTACTGAGGCCCGTCCATTTCTCTTATGCTGCAACACAGACTCATTGATTTTTTTGTTGTTTTAATTTGTTTTTATTTGTGCAACATTATTTTATATTTATAAAGTAATTTGTAAATTTGTAAATTTGAACATTATTTTATATTGTGTCATTCCATTATCTTTTAAGTTTATTATGTATCTATTGTGGTTAGACCGTTAATTACCGTGTTTCTTTCTTTCTTTCTAATAGGTAATACACTGTAAAATAACGTGTAAAACGTGTAATTCATGTCATAACAATTACATCTTTACTAACAAAAACAAAACTAACCTCAAATGTCTCACTCACTCTATATTTTCTCTTTGATTTTGAAGAGTTTCTTGAGGCAGTTCAGGAATCGAAGGTAGAAGGAGGAAGATAATATGGGACCATATAGGAGCTAAACCGAACATAACAAAAAAAATAATTTTTAAAATCGGTTCATAAATGACGGTGTGATATTCAGAAAATATCAAGCATAAAAAAATAGAACCAAACTGAAAACCTCCTCCTTTTTTGAAATCGATTGAAATAGTTACAACAAAGTAACATTTTTACAGGATGGTTCTCACCGCCCCCAGCCACCGATTAGCTAAAACACAGTCGACGGCCATCGGGGTCCCGGTCCGAACTACAACCTCCATGACCGTTAGATGACACACCATAGTTAAACGCACGCATGAGCACATGCGCGGCCCTACCCACAGCGGAGGGCTCAAACCTGGTTTTGGCTAGCCCACCAGTTCTGCTTCAGATGAAGCTTTAATAGTCTCGGGACTGAAAGTAAAAACATCAGTTAATACAAGATACAAGAACATTATTTCAGTAGATTCTAATGCGCCTTACTTACTTTTAGTTTTAACTCTCCCAACAATCTTTCGGTTGCTTTTAGGGAAATTATTATCCTATAAAAAACGTCTATTTACATTACTGCAACCCTCATTTAACATTTAATATTATAGTAGATAAAGTGTTAGATTTTTATTTGTCTTTGACTTTCAACAAAGTAGTCCGTTATGACAAGTGGCTATTGACAATAAGATACAATATAATACTTTATAACGTTTAAAAAAGAAAGAAAGATGTATGTGTTGTCCTGTATATGACGTCCTTTTATTTCAAGTAAAACATGCTTAAAGCAGTAACCTCCGATAACTAAATTTATATTTTAAAACTGTCATTCCCCTACGTGTAATGGCTAACAACTTGACATTGGCGGAATTGTGATAACTCACAAAGCAAGCCATTATTAAGAAGAAGAAGAAGAAGAAAGAAAGACATTTAACAGTTATTTTGATTGGAATATCCATTGAAAATTAAATTGTCTAGCCACAGATTGAGAATGTTGAAGACAGACTATGTAATGATCCTATGGATATAATTAGGAAATTAGTTCTTGATAAAAATGATTAGTGTAGAAATTACATTAAAAATTAAATGAATTTCATTACATTCACGATGATATTCTATACTATGGGAAAAATATAGGGGAATAGAAAAAATTTAATAAAAGCTCCAGAAACTCTACTCTAACTCTACATATTTTGCCTATTTGGTCTTTTTCACAATTATTAAAAACCCCTTCTACCTTCTACTAACACTTCTACTGTACTCCAGAGTTTACCGCTATAGTATGTACGTGTCTAGCGGGCCTATACAACAGCATCAGATGCTGCTATAATATAAATCTGTATAACGTATAAAAAGATTGGAAACGAGTACAAACATTGGAACCAACAATTCTTCTGTGCTTGTGTTTGTGACTGAACTTCCCCTAAACGGCTGGACCGATTTTGATGAAATTTTTTGGGCGTGTTCAAGTGGATTCGAGATTGGCTTAACAATTCGGTCCACTACAATTTTTTTTGTTACTTATAAGTTTTTGTCAGATTTACGACGTGTGTACAGGACGTTTGTCGGGTCCTTTAGTATTTTATAATAGTTTTAATACCTATAAAACATAATGATTCCTTGCATTTACGCGAATACTAAAGAATTTCGAATAAGGTTTTATCGCTATTGTTTTCGATCGGACTAGGTTTTGTCAAATTGGAATAAAAAGTTTCTGTTTTTACTCAATACCAGTATCTTCACAAATCTATTCTACTGATATCAAGCCGAAAGTGCTTTGGAATATTAATATGTGAACCTAATTTATGTATTGGCTTGTAATCACGATTATCATGTTGTAATCACGCTTCAATGTTTAATCTAATGAATTTTTTAAAGGCTTGACACCATTAGGTGTTCTTTACCAGTCCGCCATTTTAGGCATTTGTGCAAAAAGTTTTCAAATAAATAAATAAAAACAAACTTTTACTAAGTAATCCTGATGATTGTACACGTACCCTTAAATTCAGAACTAGCCTTTAAAACCTAACTATTCTCAATCTACGGTCATTGGCAAACACTGTTAAGACACAGGATTGCTTTAGTTCAAGTATAAGAAAGTAAAAAAAAAATTAAACATCACGATGGATTAATAAATATGAATGATGGACCAAGGAATTGGAAGTGACAGCTCAGAGTGCAATAAACTCATAAAATCACTTTATTGCAATTGGTTTCGCAAATAGATTGTTCGACATGAATTGTATGTTATGTTTACGTTAAATACACGGTACACCATTACGTTGCCAAAAAGAGATAAATAATAGTGAAATGCAGTGCCGGATTAAGTAAGCGTGGGGCCCGTAGCAAATTCTTTCAAACAGACCTTGATCTGCTTTGGGTTCTTAAGTATAAACTGGTAAAAGAACAACTCAATACTCTCATTTGTTTAATAAGTTTAACTCAACAAATGAAGTCAGGCAGAGATGAGATCAGGGTTTAAATATGCGGGGACCCCTTTGGCGCAGGGCCCGTAGCAATTGCTACTCTTGACACGTGGTTAATACGGCACTGGTGAAATGTATAACATCCAATACATGCATAGATTCGAAAAGATCATGTGTTCTTTCATACAACAGAAATGTAGCCCACGGCTAACGGAATATAAAACTATCTTCTGACGTCCTCACTTATAATAACATTGCCACATAGCCGTGAATATATTCTAGCAACCTGAGTTCGATCCCCAGTGCCGGCAGCTCGGCGCCAATGAAATTGTTAATTTTAAGTGATGACTTATCACGCGCTCAGCGGTGAAGGAGAACATCGTGAGGCAACCTGCATATATTCGAAATAATAAAAAAATTATTTCGAAGATAATTATGTGAAGTCCACCAATCCGCAGAGAGGGCGCGTGGTGGACCATACCCTAATACTCTCTGTAAAGAGGCGTTTGCCCAGCAGTGGAATATGTAGTAAATAATTGATAAATTAAACTAATTTGTGGATTTCGTTAACGCCATTTCGGTATAAAATAAGGGACGTGAATACTGTTAAGACACATAACTTACCACGATACTTCATATATTTTCAGAAAACTTACAGTTAAAAAGTTATTATATAACTGCATTAAAAAATATAGCTGATTAAAAAATGTTCACAATTCGTTTCGAAAAATAAACGTATCTTTCTTTTCCTATATCTAACTTACCTAAATTAAAAATCCAACACACCGCAAGCTTCACAGACAATGCCAATAGTCGCGGGTCAGAATTCAGTAAAGATGTGTGTAGTTTTCACTTAATTTAATGAATCACCGTTAACATAATAAGCTACAATAAGCATAATAATTAAATATACATACCTATCCAAGATTGTAATCTCAACCCAAGTGTGATGAACTAGTATTCTTCCATTTCAAATTTTGATGGTATTTTAATCGAATTGCTCAATTCTTGTTGCAGACTCCCGACGCTTAGAATGTTTTGTACGTTTTAAAATATAGGAAATATCGAGACTGATCATCCGCACACTTAAATTAAAATGCGTAGAATAGTTTTATGCATCAAGATGTATTATTCGCAAACTACAAGTTATCGTTAATTGGACAATGAGTTAATACGCAGCAAAGAAAGCATACTGCTGGAACAAGCATGTGATTCGTTCCAACATTGCAAGTGTTTCCAATAAACCTATAATCCACCTCATTAGAACATAGTAATTATTTTGCGTTACGTTCGTAATAATTAATTACGTTACTATTCCGAGGAAGTAAACAAAAATCCGTCCAGAATTTCTTAGCATGTACAAACGGTTAATTCTACCATTTAATGTAGAATTTAGAAGGAAAGAAACATAATACACTATAATAACATAAGCCAGGATTTTATAGAACAAATAATATTTAACTATTTTAAAAATACTTAGAAAATACAAATTACAATTAACAAATTTATTGTACCACAATTGGTATTAAAATCTGTATTAATATACAAAAGGATTACCTGTATTAAAAAATGTGTATGACAAGTATAAACACCATTAGCATAAAAGAGTACCCAGCCTTTTCTAATTACGGTGCAGGCCACAAAACTTACAAACACAGTCACAAACTAATCAATAATTTAATGACAATGATTATTTTAAACTAAGCGCTAATGAACGTCCGAACATGTACAGTAGAACAGCGATTATGAAGTGACCCATATAACAAAGCAGTCGACCTTGACAGAATAACACTTGGCCGTAAATTATTTAGATTTCAACCAACTTTGACACGCGGATTCACTAGCTCCGTTTCATTAAAATTGTAATAACGAACGTTTACATTATAAAAAGACCAGTGTGTCAATGTGCCGTAAAAGCTATCTCTTATTAAACGATTTTATTTAGCTCGACCCGTACGGACATTATTTGTTTATTTATTTGGTTCAAAGTTAGAAATTGAAATTTAAGCACCTTCCCGTTGTCAGATTGATCTGAAATTTGGTACACACATTTAATTTAGATGACAATACAATATTGTAGTTTTCAGAGCACATAAAATAAAACCGTTTAACTTTAAAGTTTTTAAACGGTTTTATTTTATTTTACTGTGACATGCTCACCCGAAATATCACACCTACAACATAAATAATTTCGACTTTTGGATTTCCTGTGTAGAGCGAGGTAACCAGACCCACTCGTACAGACGTTTGCATAGAACCTGTAAATCCACAGGTTTTATTAATGAAATGAGTAGCGGTTATCACCTTCATCAGGTTAATCACCTGCTTGTTTGCCATCATCTTACATAAGAAAAAACTCCTTATCAAATTTCTTTCGCAACAGGTCAGCCGATGTGAATTGAAGAATGGACTAACATAACTACTACCACGTTTATTAAGTAGCAATGTATAGAAAGTAAAGTAACAAAAGCCTATACATATCCCACTGCTGGGCAAAGGGTTCCCCTGCACAGAATAATTCACTGATTTTTAGAGTTCCGTACCCAAAGGGTATAACGGGACCCAATTACTAAGACTTCGCTGTCTGTCTGTCTGCCGCTATAACAACAAATACTAAAAAACAGAATAAAAAAAATATTTAAATGGGGCTCTCATACAACAGACTTGATTTTTTTGTTGATTTTACGGATAAATTACGGAACCTCCTGCGCGAGTCGAACTCGCAATTGGCTGGTTTTTATATAAGTCGGATAGATCCGGTTTTTGACTCAAGAATCTGATCAAATCAGATAATACTGATTAACAATACGTCTGGGTGAAAAAGTTTGGCTTTAAAATTAACACAAGCTTTAAGAAAAAAAACATATTCATTGCATAATTATGGGAATTTGCGAGCTATTTCGCACTTAAGCCAATGTCACCATTCAATATTGTTTTTGCAGCAAACATTCCTTTATATGACTTGATTAGTTTAAAGCTAAATATTACAGAATACTGTTGAGTAGGAAAAGATCGATGATAAAAGTGACTTTTAAAAAATCTAACCTTCTTAGGGGAAAAAGAGGTAATGGGAGTCAGTGGGTAACAGTGGTCAGCCACATATATACAAAACTTCAATCACTAGAGATGCGTGAATGGCCTCCCTACTCCGCTATGTGTCCCTCACAATCGTTGCGAGCCGTCTGAGCCTGTATGGCAACGGCATCGGGAACGAGAGATCATTTTTGTTTCTGCGGCTTGCCGATATAAATTTCCTCTCTCGTAAAATAAACGGTAAGTATCACATTTATTGATCTACTTGTTTGTAACTTTCATGCGCCTTTATTCGGACATTCAGTGTAACGATTTCAAACATATAACACGTGTGCTGCAAAAATGTATTTTGCTTTTAATTTTTTTTCTTCTTAGAGTACTTGTGGGTAATGAGAATCGGGTGACCCCCATTGCCCACTAGGGCCACTATTACAGGCATTGTAATTGGCGTATACTACATTTTTTGATTTATCAAAAAATCTTACTTGTCATCACGTCTTGGACGGCTGACTGTGTTCAGCCTTGAAAAAGAAAGAGATTTGGCCCACTTCATAAAGAAGATGGCCAATATTTTTTATGGATTTACCTACAGCTAATGAAATTAGAAAAATGGCAAGTGAATATGCTGAAGACTACTTAAAACACAATTTTAATCAGTTTTCGAAAATGGCTGGACGTGACTGGTTGTTGTCATTTACCTTGCAGAGAAGATCACGCCTTACGAAGTAGCATCTTTATTGCGGAAGACATTTAATAACATTTCACCTATTAGTAAAGGGGAATCGATATTTAGGGCTACTGATATTTTCCCAATAAACCCCGACGTGTTTTCTGAAGAAGATTTTCTGCCAGCCGAATTGCTCCAATCGGAGACTACTGCCAATCAAAACTATGATGAGTCAGATGCTATTGATGACCCAACATCAGGTCAAGGAGAATCTTCAATAACTGGCACATCAATGCATGTTGGTTCACTGAAGCCACCATCACCATCACCAACTTCTAGCGCAGTTGATTACCTAGGCCCTGGTCTGCGAGCTGGGATATGTTTGCGATGAGTGTTAGATTTTGTTTTATCCTCATTGCCCACAATGTGAACACAATTACCTCCGTGCAATTGGAGTCTTTAACTCTTTTACTTGCCAAAGTTAATTATTAATGTGATGACCATTGATCTCAAACGATAGCCAAGTAAGTAGACTTTGTTATGAGGCCGTTGCAATAAGGATTCTGTTTCAAATTTTTTAATTATTTAAGTTTTCGCTTAAGTGACCCCCATTACCCCTTTTTCCCCTAATATCTTTGATGGTTTCACGATCACTATATCGAACAACGTTCACTTCAAGTATTCTTATTCCTTTCGCAAATAAGTCCAACCGTCTATTTTATTAAATCCTCTATCTAATGAAATTAAATGGCAAAGTGTCGTTCGTTGCGGCGTTCTAAGTGCGGCTGATGATGACGATGAAAGAAATGAAAATATTAGAACTTAGAAAAAATAGAATCAGGAATCGAAGCCACGTCTTCCTGATTCGCGTACAGTACGTTACAGATACAGTATGGAACGAAGTTAATGTCACTGCCCCACATCCTTGGTATCCACCGCGATCTTTGACTCGTAGATAACGATTACACCAATAATGATACATCTAACACTCCAACAATGAATTATCACAGCAGCTGTATATAATTAATTTGTTTTTGATAACCTCTCACGATCAGCTATAACCCTGACCAACACGACTTATCGGCCACTGCTGCTGACGAGACAGCAACGGGTTTTTCATAGGACAAAATGGACCAAGTTCTCATTTCGACCGACTTCAAAAAAGGAGAAAACTCTCAACTAGTTTGTAATTTTTTTTAATGTCTTTTACCTCAAAACCCCGTTATTTATGAACCGATTTTAAAAATCCTTATTGCATTGAGTTCGCTTTAACTCCCATGTAGTCCTATATTCATTTTCATTAGGCCTCCGGAGATTAATGTATCTCCGGAGGCCTAATGAAATGACCAAACTCATCAAAATTAAAAAGGAAATGTATAGTGAGTGAGATATTTCAAGGCTGTTTTGTTTTTTGTCATTTATTTTGTGGGTAGGTGCCCATCGAACTGGCGGTCCACCTATGTTAAGTGATAACCGCCGCCCATGGACATCTGCAATACCCGTATTTGCAAATGCTGTACCACCTTTTCATAGAGTTAAGTGGGCTCCGGTTACCTCCGGTTACCGCCGGTTACCTCCGGTTACTCCGGCTCAGCAGACGAAACTTAGTAGTATAAATCTTCGTCTTCACGCCGGTCTCCTTTGAGGTCGTGGTACTTTCCTGGACGGACCTGCCCATTTGTGCCCCAGAGAAGACTGTCACGTGGCCCTACAATCTATCGTAGTGCACCAACTTGTTATATGTAAGTAATTCACACACATTCGATTATATTACCTTTTTAGTTGCACTTTTATATTTCGTCGTGAACGACAACCAACTGGAAACGCAAAATAATTGCATTATTAACAAAAGAGCACCTTGTCAATGTCACTTTATTTAGTAATCATTTTTAGATAGTTATGCTTTTTTGAAAATTTTTCCCGTTTTTAGTACATTTAGTTTTTAGATTTATTTTATTTTTGTAAAATAATTTTCGGTTACGGACCCACGAGGAAATTATGCCAGAGTGAGTTGAATTTCATGTTTTTCAGACTAAGAACTTGAATGAAGTCTGTACAAATTTACCTTGCCTTAAACTCTCACTAATTCGTTCAGATGATTGTAGTAGTTTTTTGATTGTGATTTTTCATTAAAACGTGGAGTTGAATTGTTTTTACGTCGTTTTTGTTGTTTCTTTAGTGTTCGTGCTAAAACATTCTCATTTATCAAATAAAATAATCGAGATAGTAGCACCATGAACATGACACAGGGATTTTAATTTACTTATTTGAGAAGGTGGCAAAAGAAAGAATGAAAGCTGGCGTTTCACTTGATGCTAAGTGATGTTAAGTGATATCAGGAACACACATGGGGCTACAGATGCGATACACCTTTTAACAGTGGGCCGCGGCTACCTTATTCCCCAGAAAAACGCAGAAGTAATAATTCTTCCTCTTCACGCCGACCTTCTCCAAGGATAACCAAATCCAATAATGCCACAGCGTAGTTATTTACACAGTGGGTACTATTAAAAATAACCGCACCAAGCTCCGTTGCGTAGTTTTAAAGATCTTAGCATACATAGGGACAGACGGACAGCAGGATGACTTTGTTTTATACTATGTAGTGATTTATCGTTGACCTATTATTGTTGAACCACTGTGACTTGCAGTTATGAATTTGCATATGTAAGTAGGATTGTATGGAAGCATGTAGTACTTTGATAGTCGAGCCTGCAAGAAGTACGAGAGCAGAATCTGATAAGTAATTCACAGAACACAGTTATAGTACACAGTACAATGTTTAGAAGGAACTAAAACTACAACACCTACAAGACATCAACGTACACCTGGGGCTATTGCAGATGCGTTGGCATGCTTTAAAAAACTGCACTCGCCTACCTCACTCACCAAGAGAAACGCGAAGCATTAAACATTTACTTCACACTAGCCTTCTGTGAGACCGTGGTATTTCCCCGGACGATTCTGTCCATTCAACAGCTTCCGATATTGCATTTCCCTACCACAGTTAGTCATTGTATAGTGCGTTATTTCGTATGGCCGTACTAGCCAATCCTAATACGTCCACTCAACATCTTCTGATGTTACATTTCCCTACCACAGTTAGTCATTGTATTGTACAACATTTCGTGTGGCCGTACAAGCCGATGCGAATGCGTTATTATCATACTCACAATCGAGTTTTGATCTCGGCCCAGGGTGTTTGCTCCCACCTGGGAGAGCGTACACTTGTCGCAAGTGCGCTCGGGGAATACCCTCCCGCATAGGCCTGTACAGCCACGAACGCAGGTGTCATCACTGTTTAACATCTGACACGGATGAAAAAGCCTGTTGATTGATTGGTCCGCAGGTGTGTTCCCTGCCCGGCGGCTGCGCCGTGCGCGCCAACTGCCGGCATCAAATCGGGCCCTAAAGATGGGACTCCGATCGACGGCAAGCAGGAGCAGCCCTGCCCGTGCCGCTCGTGCTGTTGCGGCAAAACCCCTATACTCAATCCGGTTAGTACACGAACGGTAGACGAGATGTGGCGAATGGTTGCATGAGTATAAAAGCGGTTTGTGTTTAAAAATTTATGACTATAAGAACTCTTCGTCTTTTTTGCGGCTGTTGATAAGACGGCCGGTTTGTTTTTCAGTTGAATGTTAAGTATTCAGTGAGGAAATGTAAGTAGCTTCTTTGGCACCATGCCGCGTGGGCTACGTTTGTTTGATAACGTGTACTTTGTTTAGTATTTGTCTATATTGTAAATACTTTTTGTTCAATTAATTTGATGAGAACTAAATAGAATATTTTATGTACGATGTATTCTGATGTCGATATTTACTCAATGACGAAATGTAACTAGCGTCCTTGGCACCATGCCCCTTGGGTTCCGTTTATTTGGTAACGCATATTTTGTCAATATTTTTAGTGAAATAAATTTGATGAGAACCAAAATACTCTCTCAAGTATGCTATATGTTGTATACGATGTGTTGTGAAGTACATTTCCGAACGCATGTACACGAGTAGTAAATAATAATTTATATATCTATTTGCCATTTAGATAAGCTACACGATGTGATGTAAATAACAAAACAGAGGAAATAAGAATCGAACTCAATATGTGGCATTTGATGCATTTAAAATAACCTAAGGAATAATATTGCAATAATATTGCAGGTACAAGTAAAGTAAAGTAGCCTAAACGTCTATAATATTTCCATCCGCTGGGCAGAAGCAAGACTTTACGTATTCGATAGGATAATTTTCATATTACTATTATCTTTTATATATGCAAGTGCTCTTTCGCCGACGAGCATGTGGGAAATGGGCACTCAAAATTGAAAATTGCACAAATCACAGTTTTATCGGTGCCTCTCCTTTGACCCTAGAGGTCACTGAGCAAACATGACTGACGCCCGTCAAATGTACGACGATTACCTCGCCTTCCCTCAGTGCTACAAGCAGCCCAAGATACCAGAGTCGTACGCGCCGCGGCGCTGCTACATGAAACCCACCGCCCCAGTGGAGTCGTGCACGACGTACAAGATGTCCTACTTGCCAGTCGACGGGTGCAACAACCTTCGGGGGATTCCCAGAAAGCCTCCGCCTAACTTGGTCCCAAGCTGCGAGCCTATGGAATCGTGCACCGTCCAGAAGGTAAGCTTTCCAAGGGAAGCGACGTCCGATAACCATTTAATCTATCAAGAAAATTACTTCTGAATGGAGTAACTAAGTTCGGACCACGCAGCGATCTTAGCTTTTTCACGAATGTGTAGGTCGGTCCCGTAGTTATCACTTAACATCTCGCGAACCGCCAGCTCATTTGCCTCCTTCGCACATAAAACATGTAAGAATTCTGAAACTATGAGCGCATTAAAACGGATAGTATTTTAAAATAGTGTTTGTTACCAAGATTGCTTGATAGAATGTTTTTAAAATTATAAAGGATTCTTAATCATCAACCTAAAACAAAGAAAACGTATTCATTGTCTTTACTTAATACCAAAAGAGAAATACGTAAAGATTCTCTGCCAATCATCGACCGACAAAACTTAATTGTAATGAAGGAATCATTTACCTTCCTGGAAAATCCACACATGAAATTAACTACCGGGTTAAAAGTAAATCAACTTCGATAATAACCAATAGAGTCGCTAAAATAACAAAACTATTAGAGCGACTTAGGCTACGATTATATGCTAATACATCACTATCCCACTTCTCTGACAGCTCTAGAGTCGCTATGATAACTAGTGACTTAGGCTGTGGTCTAGTGTGCTTACATATAATTATCCCTCTTCCCTGACCACCAGCTCTCGTTCCTGCCGAACCCGGTGTGCGTGACGCAGCCCATCCGGCCGTGCCACCACGACATGTGGGGCCAGGGCCCGATGCAGAACCTCACTACACAGCGGCACGACTTTGTTCCGAAGCCGTGTGTAATGCGGGAGAGTTGCAAGCCGCCGGCAAAGTTTCACTGTGTCGAACAACCCTTTGAGAGTAAGAACTTCACCCGTAAACTAATTACGACTGGCCTCTTTAGTATTCGCACCTATGATCTTAAAAGCGAAGCAACCTTTGAACCACAGCCCTACAGAAGCCTTCGCACCTTTGATCTTAGTAAAGCAATGCAGCAACCAAAGCTTTACAGAAGCCTGATAAAGTTCACGTCGTTTTTTATAGTTTATTTTACTGCCGTTTTGTGTATGAGTTCCAAGCTCTTGAAATATCAGCGCAGCCAAATTTCTGTGATGGACGTCATTGCTCGGCGATTATCGTTTACAATAATGGGTTTTACACCATGCTGGCAGGTTTGATCAATTTGATCTCAAATAAAATCTCTATTTACTTATTAATCAATATGGCTGTTATGATAAATGTGACTAAAAGCTAACAGAAATACATCATCTGTGAAAATTCCAACTGGCTATCACGGTTCATGAGATACAGCGTGGTCACAAACGGACAGACAGACAGACAGTCAGTGGAGTTTTAGTAATAAGGTTAACGTCAACACTCCTTGCGAATAAACACCCGGATCTGTTATCTGTCCGTCACAAATACTTGTCCCCGCTAAATTGTCTGCGAGTCACAAACAAATAATTACCTCACGTGGGAATCGAACCCACGACCCCAATGTCAAAGTGGAGACTATACCCGTTGTTTTAAAAGCGCTCATCATCTTGGATCTATATGA